AGTACTTTAAAGCATATAAATAAGTTACCCGGGCAATTGATTTACATTAGCCAATCAGACGAACTTCTGTCTATGAATTTAGTAATGAGTTGATTTAAGAGCATGTAAAATAACAATACGTAACTACTATATATACTATAAAATGCCGCCGTTCCGAAAGTATTACAAATACAGTAACTGTTGTAATATATTGACTTGAACGAAGTCATCATCAGGATATTACGAAATTCTATTGACATGCCATAGTTACGCAGTGAAAAATTTCGTTAGTATACGGTCACATCTGGAAAAAAAAATTTTAATAACATACCGTCATCACTTAGTTTACGCAATACCATTCAAATAGCGAAAAAATACAGTACATCTGAATTATTATATAAGAGATATACTTGTATATTACATCTCTTACCATAGTTTCTATATTCGTTTTCTTGGAAAATATTTATTTATCTTTTATTTTTATCATGCCTCGTCATCGTGCTGAACTTACCTCACTCGGTAGGAAAGAAAAGAACGAAGTTTTAGAAAAATCTTATCCCTTGAGGTCGTATCCTATTCAATCCACATCATTCGATCATAGGAATCATTATAATGATGAAAGGGAATATTCTCATACAAGCCGATACGCGAGGAGGGATAGCCGGGGCCGTGATCGATACTATTCACGTAATGATAGTCATGATCGTAATGTGTCAAGAGATTATTCATATAGAAGTCGACGTTCCCCATATCGAGATTACCGTTCTCGTAGTAGAAGCCGCGAAAGATCTTTTAGAGACAATTTTACAAGATATAACCAAGATAATTATTCTTCAGAATATAGAAGAAACTATCGTTCCCCTGAATATCGAAGAAGTAACCATTCTCCAGAATATCGGAGAAATTTTCATTCTCCAGAATATCGAAGAAGTAACCATTCTCCAGAATATCCAAGAGAATGGAATCGTCATCATCCTTCTTATCCCATGATCAAGCAAGAAAATCAAAATGATCAAACTTATGTGCAACTCTTAGCGAGACAAATTTGTAATTTAACTCATCAACTCGAAGCTTTGCAAGCTGGAAGATCGGGATTTACACAAACTATTACACCTATTAGCACTGAAGGAGTTGAAATACAAGACACTGATCGACAGCCAACAAGCGTTCCTACACCCATTAGAACTTCTCCCCGAATGAGCGAATTGAACTTACCATCATCTCATATCAATGAACCGAAAAAATTATCTTCTCGATTTTGTTCTGATCAACACCTTAAACCAATGGATCCGATCTTTAAGCAGGTGTTTCGTGATGAAGTTGTTTCAATTTTGGATCAATTGCCAAGATCACATCAATTTAAAATAACTAAACATTTTAGCCAACAACTTGATCATATTACTTGCTTTACAGTGCCAGCAATTAAAGAAAAAGTTAGTCCTGCATTATTATTTACTGATAATGAATTAATTGCAGTTTTAAAACAGCTTCATAAGAGTCGTCGTGGTGTTTGGAAGAATGAACGGCGGGATCAAGTAGATGAATCTCGAAAGCGAAAACACGTTAGTTCACGAACCTCTCGTGTAAGTAATAACATTATTCAGTAAACTACAATAAATATCTTTTACAAAAAATTAATAACATCTTATCTCACTTAATCACTTTTAAGAAAATACGCCGTCGAATTAATGGATTGAGGCATATGGTTTATGTTAACGACACGATTCTTCGTAATTGTCAGCCTCCTACGCTTCATTGGAATGAATATTTACGTGATTTAGAATATGCAGTGAATGATGCTGCTTTACAATCAGCAGAAGAATCCGATACAGATGAAGAATTAGCAGATAATGAACGAGAAAATGACGAAAGACCAGAAAATATTCTGGATACAAATAGTGTAATAAAAGTTTACAATAAGCCGTGGAGATCTACAAGGGTAGGGAATTATTTTTTTTGATTTTTAAGTCGGTTATTTTATTTTTATGTAACGGGTATCGGTTATTATCATTCCGAAAACTAGATAACATGCATTTTGCATCGTTGTGATGAAGTGACAGGAACTAATTTAATTCGAAAAAGGTGGTATGATGATAATTATGTTGATTACAAAAGCCGTCCAAAAAAAGATATGCCGTTTTGGTGGATTTCCACAAGATGGTCTTCTTCCAATATTGAAAACAGTGAAAATGAAGATGTCGTGAAAAGTAATAATAGAAAAAATAAGAGAAGGGACAATTACATGAAAAATGCTGAAATTATGCAACTTGATTAAAGAAGTTTGGGAATGCTAATATTTGCAAAAAAAAAAAATATATTTATTATTTTTTTCAAAACCAATGTAGCGATTAAAGTTTGGCTAAATGCTTGCAAAAGAAAATTGAAATTAGCGAACAATTAAATATATATATATTTGCAAATTGTATAAAAGTAAGAGTGTGCAACTTCAAAATAATTACTACAACTTCAAAGTTATTATTTCATGGTTATTATTAGCAAAGAGTAAAAATAAAGTAGGGATGTTCTATAGAATAGGTGGGCAATCCGCTATTAAAAAATTAATGATTACTAATCATGAGCGAAGCTTATTTCTTATATTGCCCACCTATTCTATAGAATATCTAAGGAGACGATCTCAAGTTACTTTAAAATTCTAATTTAAATGCTATTTTCTGGTAATTCATATTCGCTGAAACAGCTATAGGCATTTTGATCAAAGTAATTGGCATCATTAAATCTAAAATTATACTTTTATTCGATAATCTTATTTTATGTAATCCATATTAACTTTATGATTAAATAGAATTTTAAATTTTACAACTCATAATCTAATGAAATTAAGGCGTTATTTTTGTAAAGAACTTTTGCTAATCTTTTACATCCATTAAAACTAATCTGATTATTACAAATATTTAGATAAGCTAAGGTTGTGTTTTTGCAGAGTGCTTTTATCAATACTTCCACTCCTTCATAAAAAAGTTGATTATTACGAAGGTTCAAAAAAGTCAAAGTGGTGTTTTTGCAAAGCGCTTCTGCTAACACTTGCCCTGCTTTAAAACTAAGCTTATTATTAGAAAGAATTAAATTAGTTAAAGTGTTGTTTTTGTAAAGGGTATCCGCTAATACTTTTACTGCATCATTAGTAAAAAAATTGTTACTAAAATCTAAAATAGTTAAAGACTTATTTTTATGAAGAGTTTTTGATAAGGCTTTGATTCCATCATAATGAACTTGATTTTTACTGAGGTTTAACGAAGTTAAAGTATTGTTCACAGAGAGAACTTCTGCTAATATCTTTACTCCTTCAGTACCAAGACGATTATTAGCAAGATTTAAATATGCCAGAATGGAGTTTTTGCGAAGGGCTTCTGCTAATATTTTGGTTTCTTCAAAACCAAGTTGATTGTTCATAAGGTTCAATGAAATTAAGGAAATATTTTTACAAAGAGCATCTGCTATCGCCTTTACTCCTTTAAGACCAATCATGCTATTTTCAAGACTCAGAGTAGTTATACCGGTATTTCCGCAAAGAGCTTCTGCTATAGCTTTTACACCTTCAAAGCCAAGTTTATTTTTAGAAAGATCCAGAGAGGTTAGAGTAGTGTTTCCGCAAAGAGCTTCCGCTAATTCCTTGCCATCTTCAGCGCCAAGCGAATTATTAGAGAGGTTTAAGGATGTCAAAGTGATATTATTATAAAGAACTTTTGCAAGCACTTTTTCACTCTTATCAAATAGATTAGAATTAAGACTTAAGGATGTTAAAGTTGTGTTTTCATAAAGAGCTTTTGCAAGTGCTTTTTCACCGTTATCATCAAATGTATTATTGGAAAAATCTATGGTGGATAAAGTCGTATTCTCATAAAGAGCCTTTGACAATATCGTCGTTTCCTCAAAACCAAAATTACAATCCCGAAGTTTTAATGAAATCAGACTGCCGTTTTTACAAAGAGTATCAGCTAGTGCTTTTATATCTTCAAGACTAAATTTAATGTAAGAAAGATTTAAGGAAGTAATGGTAGCACCTCCATAAAGAAATTCTCCCAATAGATTGTTATTAGTGATTTCACTGAAATCAAAATCAAAATGCCTAATTTTTTTGCTTGTCCGTGCTAACATTGTAATTAAAGAATATTCGACTTGTTTAATTACATTTTTGTATTTTTTACATACTGAAGAATAACCAGTATGATAATTAGAAATATCATAACAATTTTCATATTCTTTACGGTAAAAAAAAATTACGATTCCCTTTGTTAAATTAGTATTATTGATATAAGTAGTATAGGACGAATATTCAAATAAGGGTTTTTGATTATTAGGAAGTGATATATTTAGTGGAATTAATAGCCTCATTTCTTCAGCATTTAACGATAAAAGGTATATTCTTATAAGTTCTCTATTTCCGCAGTGCTTTAATGGTTCACACCATAATATTGGAACAATGATTTTACACCATTGACGGTTTACAAGAAGACATGAAAATAATTGTTTGGGATAATCTTTAAGATGATTAAATATTCCCTCAAGGCATTCGTTCGGTAATTTTATCATTTTGAAAAGGTAAAGGAACTAAGCCAAGCGTTCATTAAAGTTACGTATTAGAATTGCGTTTTGTCCAAAGTACTGTAGTACAAAGGTTACATTTTGCTTGGATTTACTTATTTGTGATGGTAATACAGCTCATAAAAGGAAATTTATAAGTGAGTAGAGATAGACATTTATGGTTAGGATGTTAACATTCGTATAGCGATGGCAATAAATTTGTTGCCTATTATAAGTTAGATTCCAAAAAGTTTTGTAAAATTAGCGCTATTCTTCTCTTGGTTGAAAACGTAATTATTGATCTAAGAAAGTGAAGTTTAAAGGGTAACGAATGAAAATTTGGTTTCAATAGAAATGAAATTTCGATTTGTAACAAAGTTTCTTCATGTAAAATTTAAAATGTATAAAAGGGGTGAATTTTTACTATTAGTAAAGTCTCAGTTTTCGATATAGATGGCGGTAGAATTCAAAAAAGGAAATTTTAACAATGAAAATGATTAGTAATCATAGTTATAATTTCCTTTTTTGAATTCTACCGCCATCTATAGTTTTCGATTTTTTAGATTATTAAAATCAGAATTATAAATATCTTGCTAAAATCCGCTTAATTCGATATATTAATTTCGAATTATTTTTGAATCTCGTTATCATTACATTCTTTATTATCACGATCATTTGCACGTCGCAGCTATATTGCAATTACTAACTCTTAGACCCGGAATGCAGTTTTAAATTTATTTAGTTTTAAATTTTTGTTTTTTTGTTTTTTAGCTTTTTAGCTTTTAGATTCAGATAATGTCCTAAGATATAGTTTTAAATTTATTTAGTTTTTAAGTTTTTAGTTTTTAGTTTTTAGCTCTCAGACTCGGATGATGCTCTGGGAATATAGTTTTAAATTTATTTAGTTTTTAAATTTTTTAAATTTGGTATTTAGTTTTTTTAACTCTCAAATCTAGATTATAGCTTTGATAGTATAGTTTATATTTACTTGATTTTAAGTTTTTTTTTTAAATTTTTATTTTAATCTTTTAGTTCTTAGATAGTATTTTAGAAATATAAATTTGAATTTATTTAGTTTTTAAGTATTTTTTAATTTTAATTTTTGTTTTTTAGCTTTTAAATCAAGATACAGTCTGCCCTCCATACAGTCACTCTCTATATAGTCACACCCTCTTTATAAGCACACTAATTTTTAGAACAAACGTATATAAAACATAAGAGATTTGACCTCTATACAGGCACAATTTCTTATAAGCACAGAATTTCTTGGAACCGAGGGCGTGACTGTAGAGAGGTTAGACTGTAATACTTTAGAAATACAGTTTTAAATTTATTTAGTTTTAATTTTTAAATTTTAGTTTTTTAATTTTTAGCTTGCAAATCCAGATAATACTCTAGAAGTATAAATTTAAACTTATTTAATTTTTATGCTTTTTTAAATTTAGTTTTTTAATTTCTTAACTTTTAAGTCTGGATAATACTTAGATATATAGTTTTAAATTTATTTAATTTTTAATTTTTAGTTTTTTTTTGCTCTTAAATATAAACAATATTTCAAGAATATAGTTTTAAATTTATTTAGTTTTTAAATTTTAATATTATATTATAGATCTAAATATTATTCTAAATTAAAATTTTTAATTAAATTTAAATAAATCTGATTTAGATTTACTTAAATCTAAAGAATATTTAAATAAAAAAAACTTAAATTTATTTAAATCTAATATAAATTTACTTGAATTAAATTGGATTTAAGAAAATCTAATTTAAATTTATTTAAATTTAAATTAAATTCAAGTAAATTTTATTTAAATACTTAAATATATTAGATTTAAATAAATTAACTTAGATTTACTTACCGTATAAGCGCGAAATAATGCTCATTAGCATTATTTTGAAAATCGGAACCTTCAAAAATAGTATATGCAGCCTCAAATTAACGCCTATACGTGTCCCGAATTAACACACATCCCCTTGTAAAAAAAATAAAAAGTAAAAAGTGCACTGGAACTGGACCTGGTACTAAGTAAACCTTCCTTTGTACTTTAACAAAGTTGTTCTCCATGCCAAGATGATTCTAATCATGAAAATTATCAAAAACGGCCTATTAAACAAACATTTTGAAATTTCGAAGAACCATTAGGATGATCTGCTAGGCCGTTTTTGATAATTTTACCACCGTTAAAATCGTCTCAGTCTGGAGAACATTTTTTGTTAAAGTACAAAGGATGGTTTACTTAGTATTAAATCCAGTTCTGGTGCACTTTTTATTTCTTACTAACTGTATATTAAGAGGTGATTATTTAACCTATATTTTGAAATAACGCACATGCGTGTACTCAAAATAACATGCAGATCAATTAATTAATGCGCATATGGACGTTATTTCGTGCTTATACGGTAAATTTAAATTAAGTTCAAGTAAAGCTAATTTAAATTTATTTAAATCTAAATTAGATTTAAATAAATCTAATTTAAATTTACTTAATTCTAAATTAAAATTAAATAAATCTAATTTAAATTTATTTAAATTTAAATTAAATTTGTATAAATTTATTTTAAATTTCCTTAAAGTTAAATTAAATTTTAATAAATCTAATTTGAGTTTATTTAAATTTGATTAAATTTAATTAAATCTAATATAGGTTTACTTAACTTAGATTAAGTTTTAAATAAACCCAACTTGAGCTACTTAAATCAAGATTAAATTTAAATAAATTTAACTTGAGTTTA